GCCTTGTAGGTGACCAAGATATCGATGGCCTTTTGCGTTTCGAGTGCGCGAAGGGTACGCTGGGAAATGGTCGCGGTGGCCGACGCGGCGAGGGATGCGATGGTGGCAATGCGGACCATGTTGGTAGAAGGTAGCCAAAAGAGGAATGAGGCGAAGGACGGATGAGGGGCTGGATCGTGCGTTTTGGAGGAGGCGACGCAAACCTGGTCGCGGTCGAGGGCTCAGTACGCAGGATATCACAACTGGTCAACTGATCCACGTCATTCCATCTGGTAAGCAGTATAGTCAACGAGATGTATCAGAGGCTCCCACGGCGCTCAGGGTGCATCGTCAAGGTCGGAGTCGATCAGAGTCGATCGGCCTCTTGGAAGGGCTCGGTGGAAATGCAATGCGCACCCACTTTCAAGTGCATAGAATCCACTCCATAACACCAGACAGCTGTAACCATTCATTAACAGCTTGTCCTCGACGCGAGAACCGCAGCTGGCAGCTGGTCAATCAGTACTACACCACAAACAACCTCCAGCGTTTCACGCGCCATCGTGTAAGCCCGCCGCTGCTACCCATCCCACTTGAAGCCTATGTTGGGCAATTCGAAAGGGAGCGGATACCGGGCCGCAGCAATTGCCCGGAGCGGCCAAGCCCTCGGTAGTGGCGGGCCATGCACGGAGGTGTCGTGCTTATCCCAAGTGCAATGCCGTCCTGACCCGCAGCACGATCTACCGCCTCCGGCCATCCCTACCTCCTTGCTCATCACAACAATCCTTTGCAGCCTTACCTTGGTCGCCGAGCCAGGCTCGAATCCATATCCAAGCTATCACCCCAGCTCATCCAACGGTGAAACATGGGCGTGGTACAAGTTGGATGAAGTTCAACAGCGTTCAAAATAACGCACCGCGTGCCATGGTGAATGCTGCAAGAATTTGACCTACGTTTGACCTCGTTTAAATAAAGTTGTGGTCAAAACGTACACGAACCAAACTCGTCGGTTCGATACAATGAAAATGCTGGTGCGACATTCAACTGGGTGCATCAGTTGGTGCTTGGCGAGAGTTGTCCAAGTTTTGCTCGCTGGAAAGAGTATCGTGGCATGCGAGTCAGGATCACCCAGCGCAAGGGTGGTTGTGGATAGAGTTGTGGCCGGCCCTTAAGGCTCTGCAGTGAACCCTGCGCCGTGGTCGCATCATGCAGGACAGCGTACGCGCGTATGCAGGGAGGGCGATGGTCGGTTGGATTACTGCTCCTTCTGCCGAGAGTGCCTGTGAATAAGAGGTTTACGGGGGTCGTACACTGTACGTGAATCTGATCGAACTGCAGTTGTGCACAGACAAGTGCAGAAGTGATGGAGCACCGCGCACAGAGAAAAAAGTGTGGGAATTCGCCTTGTGCTTTCTTGAAATGTGTGGAACCACGATCGAGTGTTGGAAGGGACACTTCCCCACGAGAAAACGACGTGAACTCGCCAGGCGACACCAAGTGAAATTGTATCAGACCAAGCGAGGGTATGTCCTGAGGGCATTGCAAGGAGCAGGGATATCATTGACCTTCCCCACGTTTTTGAAAGCACATGACTTGATGCACCACAACTTAGGCTCACGTGTGGGGACATGCGGTCACAATCACGATGAGCTTCGACTCTATGGACCGTCGTCCAAGTTCGAATCATATCATGGGTCGCTAGTGGTGGCATCGCGCCGACAATTGCCCCAACGATCCATCAGGAAGTTAGATGCCGGCAGGAGGGGGCGCTCAACCACAAGGGCAAAAGAGCGACAAACCAGAATCCACTCGACTAGACCAACAAATCGTTTTTGTCGTCGACTCGCTGCACGTCGAGCGGGTGTCGCGTTGGTCGAGCCACTCGTGCATGCCTTACGTAGCGAGACCTTTTCGACAGGGAAAGGAGTGCGTTGAATTGGTTGTTTTCGTTCGGTGCCATGTCGGGTGCATTGCTACTAGTGCAGCGTTTCCTTGGTCTGCCTTTCGTCTTTCTTGAGAAGAGAAGTTAATAAGTTCCTTCCTCCTTGAACGCCTCCGTTTATTTTTGCTTGCGCATACCTGACGATCTGGAAGGTTCCCCTGCACCGCTGCTGCTCTGTTGTTGATAGGATTCAACCACCGTCGCCATGTCCTTTCATTCCCACGCGGTAGTTTCCGCAAAATCACTTACCTGCCCTGCACTGTCACGGCGGGGGCATCGGTTAAGAAGCTTGCCACCGTGAAACCTCGCTGTGAGAAGTCTGCATGGAGCAAGCTCGACGTCGCCGTGTTACAGCCATGCCCGTCCGTGGAGATTGTTGAGCTCGAATTGAACGAAGCGCCAATCTCGAGGTCTTCACACCATCTTTGGACAATGACTGATGGGCACATGCTCAGCAGCCACAAGGAGAACGTGTTCGTGTCATGAAGACGTGGAGGAAACCACGACCGCTCTTTGTACCGAAAATCTGAAATTCCCTGGCACCGTTGAATGTACTCTTAAGTCGAGATCACGTGGAAAGCTTGCGAGCGCGCAAAGTGCCTCCAATGCCGTATAAAGATTTGGACTCGAAACTTGCCACGGCAGATCAAAGAAGCAATGCAGTCGCGATGTATGCCACGCCTGCTCAGTGCAAGGAGCTGCATGGCACCAGAACTTTTCATGTCAATGCTATCATAGCCCAAGTGTTTCGCCAAGTCGAAGACCACATTCCAGCCGTGGAAAACGCTCTTGAAACCTTGACTATCACCTTGAAGGTAAGTTAGTTGACCAGACGGCAAGTGTCCTTCATGCAAATAAAGAATGCGCTGCAGCCAAACCACGCCGACTTGATAGCGAACCTGTAGGCGAGTTGGGGTTTATCACGCTCCTTCCACTGACAAAGACTCGTAACGCAGCGCATTGACCAGTGGTTGGACCACATGAACATCCATATGGCGGGCCGTGACAGTCATAGACACAACGTTTGAGACGCAGAAGGCATCCGTGCTGTGTCGTTTCGGCTGCTTCTCAAGTGCATTCGTGGCCATCCCGCGGCGTCCAAGGGAAGGATGGCATGGTCGTAGCCCCCGTTGGTGCATTGCCGCCGCTAGCGATTCCGAATTTGATCCGAACGAGGGCGTCGATCGAAAGACCACGAGCGCATCGCGCTTTCGACTGCTTTTGGTGAAAGCCGTCGCTTCGCAAACCCATGTGGAGTAGCGACCATGTGCTGACTCCCGCAATGTCTGCATCCGACTACTCGATTGTTTGCATCTCGTTTCCATCGCTCAATGCACTTGCACGACCTCACGATGTTCTGATGTATCATCTTACACGTGGGCTGCGGGAAATGCATTCATATTGTAAAGTCGAGACCACGCAAAAAATGGCACCGTTTGGGTGGTTTCAATGGGGAGTTACATTTTCCGCGCATCGACTTGCCGATTAGCGATGAGCTACCAGCGCAAAGTATGCCACATATGCACTGCGACGGCACCACCGCACTCGCCGCTCTGCTCCGCGTGCAGCTCTGGCTTGGCTCTGGACGACTCGCCGCTCGTGATGGAAAGACGACTCAGTGCAACTGCACCGCCCCCTGGTCATATCCCGATGGTTAGGGCGATTGTGCAAATGCAGGACCCGGTACCATCGCAAGTGGATCTGCCACGTGGTCCTCCAGCAGGGAGCACTGTAGTGCCTAAGATAAGCCCACAATCAAGTGCTGATACACCTGCTACCCCTGCACCGCAAGATCCATCGGTGGCAACCGATACGCCTGACAAGACAAGGGCAAACGACTTGGAAGCTATCCTCGCCCTCGCGCGAGCAAAGCGCCAGTGGATCTGCCTTGATTGCCACGGTTTGCAAGATTCCGGGGGTATGAGCTGTTCCGCTTGTGGTGGCGCACTGGCCGCCCCCACTGCCGCGAGCGCAGTTGAGACAAAACCTACGCCACGTCCAGTTGCACCCGCAGCCGACGATCTGTCCACCTCGAGCTTCCGCCTTGCCACGACTTCCATCGAAGGGCATGTTCGCATGGTGTGCGAAACCTGCTTTTCTACATCAGCAACTGGCTCCGCGTTTTGCTTGGATTGTGGTACGGCGTTCCCGGCAAAGTTACCTGGCAGTAAAACGAACTCGGCTCGGCTCGCGACGAAGGTTGCCGTTGCCAGCGACGCCGACGTCCCGACGCTTCATTGTGCAGCCGGCAACAACTTCGATTCAATTCCGTCAGGTGAAAGCGGCTTTACTCAACCAGGCAACAACGTCGAGCCAAAGTGCACGGAGGATAGCCGTCATGTCGACGCCGATGGTGAAATCATCCCGACAGACAAAGCGCCTCCAGTGCACGACGCCTCGGCCCCCACAAAGTCCGTCCTGCATTCCGAAGCGATTGTGTTTGGCGCGACGATTACCCTACATGGATGCATTCCATCCCCCCAGCAAGTCACGAACGAATCGGGGTCGGCTCCACCGACGACACCCGAGACTACGATGAGCCTCCCCGTTGACTTTCGTCCATTGCAGGACGTCGGGCTAGGCAAGTCGAAGGAGCTGGTTCTGGCTCTGTCTCACGACAGCGACCATTCCTCCGTCGCCCGGTTTGTCATGTACGCTAAGAGCACAGTTGACATCGCGTCTGACCAACTCATGTAGCCTGCCTCCACCGGGAGACAAGACTGTCCGCATCGGAAAGACGTCGGTGCATTTCCTTCAAAAGGTTGTGCTCGCGATTCTTCCAACCGACGGCACGTCGGATGAGCCCACGCACTCGTGGAACAACAAGCTCTCCAGGGGGTTGAACGACTTCATCGGGTCTCGGCCACGATTCCAGACCGACAAATCCGGTCCGACCAAGGGCGAGCTTCACGTGAAGTTTGTCCTGGCGAACGCGCCACAGTCCACGCAGGTATGGTCCACTCCTCACCGCATGGCGCATCGATTGATCCCATGCCCATGCAGAAACTCACCACGGGAATGACAAACGTCACGATCCGCATCGCCGACTCGAACCGGCTACGGACGACTTACTCTGGGCAAGACATCGGATACTGTCCGGCCGCCGAAGCCAACGCCCAGGCGCTTTGCTGCGGCCACGAAAAGACTGTGTTTGAGTTTGCGAAGAAGGTGCATCCGATGCCAATCACGTTTCGCGTTGACCGAGTGGTGTCGACCGTGTCGAACCAAGCGACAGTCGCTGTAGCCAGCGATGTGGCCGTGGAAGGCGCCGCTGCGACAATCCGCACTATTCCTGGAACGGTTCCCGACGTCGCGATGGCATGTGGGCATGATGTCTGCGAGGTTGGCATGTCGACCGCCCAAGCCAGTCCCCCGCTGACTTGCCCAGACGTGCTCAAATCTGTCGTTGTCGACTGAGTGCACACCGCTCAAATGTATAACGTTAACGGGTTGAAAATGGCATGCATGCGTTGAAAGCAGCAAACGAAAAGTATGTGGTGGTTGCGTGTGCTTTACGACTCTGTTCTTGCGACGACCCCAGCATCTGTCCTGGACACGACAAGGTGGGTGTACCGAGACGCACACGTGGCAGGTCACACCCGAACATCATGATGAAGTCGTCGGGCAGAATCTGCTGTCAAAAGTACTCCATTCTGGCGTCGATCGCGTCTTAGGCGTGGTGGTTCAGCACGCGGTCCATGGCTTCGACGACTTCGTTTGCATGGTTTTCGTCAAATTCGCTCGCAAGTCCATACACCGCAATGAAATCTTCCAGCAGCGTCTCGTAGGTGTTTTGAATGTAGAAAAACCGGCACGGCATCGTGCCACTGAGCCCTTGCAACGCTTCCGCGCGTCGGACGGTCGTGTCATGCATGCATTTCTGCCGGTGGCCATATCGTGGTTCGTTAACACGTGTTCGACACCATGTTTATCGACACCGCGAAATATTCGCGATCATAATCGTGGAAAAAGGTCGAGTCCAACCCAACCTGTAGAGCCGACAGCGACGATACGATACAACACGCTTCGCATCGAGGCATTGTTTGCTGCCTTGGTCAACTGTACAGTCGTTGCGAATCGACTTGTGTTTGGTGGAGATCTCTTAGAGCCCTTTGAGAGGTGCTTTTGACGCACCACGATCCACGCCATACCCTGTCTGCGCACCGTGCCGGGGGATCGCACCAGCATTGAGTTTTTTGTTTCGCCACTCGTCGAGTTCCCAGCATCATACATTATTCGACGTCGATTGCATGAGTCCGTGCTTTTGACCACGAAGGCTCTTGCTGGGTGTTGTCCGCCGTGTGGTCGCATCGCGACATCTTCATGGAGCCGCAAGTTCAAGCAGTAGCCTTTCCACGGTCCCGAACCGGCGTCAGTGTGACTGGTGCGGTGTTACCATTTCAAGACCTCTGCCGTGTACAGACTCAAACCAGGAACGAGTCGCCTGATGAGCAAGGCGTCAAACGTGATGGATCACTCTACTTCCTGGCGCCGTCTCGAGAGGGGCCGTGAACTGTATCGTCAGGTCACCATTATTGGACTTCATTCCCTCTGAGGAATCGGTCGATCACGCGGTTCGGTTTGAGTTTCCACCACGGTGGATCGCAGCGCTGGAAGAGCCAGAAAGTGCTGACTGCCTTGACTGAAGTCGACATCCTCACGAAAAGGCACCTCCGTGGCGGGTCGTTTCAATGTTTACAGATGACATCGCGACCACACCACTCACGTAATCGCCATGAAAATAAGCTCCATATTCCAACTTGCCGTCAAATTTGCAATCAACGGATGGGGTGTTCCCCATATAGAGCCTCCGCCAGCGCAGCAGTTCATGACTCGGCGCTACAAGCCAAGTGCAGGTGGCAACATTCTTGATAAATGCAAGCATGACATTGCTATTTCGATCGCCCCAATGCCTGGCCGCTGCGTGGACCCGGGGCTGTACCGCAAAGCGATGCATTCACGGAGCAACACACAACGTACGGGGGTCTGTCGGTGCAGCCAATGTAGTGACTACAGAGATGTCGAGAGGCGAAATGCCAACGTTTGGAGACGAGGCCAGCATCATCCTCGGTTTCGTCCGCGAACGAGCTTCATCGCGTCATCGTATTTTAGTATCATCGTAACGTTGTTTACACAGGCCAACGTGATTGCCGCAATGAGCAATCAACCAGAGCGTCCCGACGTGAAGCTCCACGCCAAGTCGGTCTTTCTCTCCGCCTGCTTCTTCGTCAACCTCCTCTTCATGCCCCTCAAAGGCTACCTCTCCGAAGTTTCCCCGTTTGCGTCCGACGCATCGTACGACCGCGTCCAGATTGGCCAACTGACCTTCGACGCGTCCGAGTTTGCCCAGTACCTTCCGTTGCTCTACAATGCGTCGACAATCGACCCGGGGGTCGTGTACTTTTACGACAGTCAGTACGGCGTCGACGTGATGCGATCCGTCGTCAAGGACGACGCGCAGGGGACGTTGAACCCGGTCTACAGCATACTGGGCGTGCCTTACTTCCCTGCCGACTTGAAGCAATCGTGGCCACGAGTGCTGACGAACAACAGCAGCATCGAGCCTCTCACGATCATCGCGTGGAACATCACGGTGCTAACGGCGCCGGCGTCCATGTCTGTGATCTGGGTCGTTCCTGGAAACGACTTGGTGGATTGCAGCCAAGCAACAAAGGCTGTCTCGACGGTGTACTACGTGTATCGCCCCGTGGTCAAGATCTTGTTCTGGCGCCTCTTCAAGGCCTTCTATCGCCTGTGCTTGGTCGTGTGGATCTTTGTATTGACCACCAAGCACTACTACTGCCACGTGCGCCACCTCCACACGAGCCTACAGATCGCGCCGCTCCATGCCAATTCGAGGGCCGCGCGGTACGAGATAGTCGTTGGCGAGCCGACGTGCCTCGTTCTGTCCAGTCCATGGCTGTGTCTGATGTTTGTGATGGACATTTGCGCCAGCACAGAGTACGTGGGTCAGGCGTGTTTGCGCGTCTGTCAGACGGAGAATTGGTTCTACTTTGCTTTGGGACTGTTGTATTTGGGCCGGACCGTCTGGTGCGCCTACACGACGCTGACGTTGCTCAACGTGGTGTTGAAGCATTTCAACAAGGCGTCGTTTTTCACACCAGCCAACACGACGATCTTGGCCATGGTCGCGACCTGTGCTGGCGGCGGCGTTGTGGCCATCCAAAAGCAGTGGCCACAAGTGCTCGACTTGTACACCACCTTGTTTCTTCCGTATAACATCGCAGCCGACCAGGCAGAGTTCCACCG